GGGGCCAAATTCATCGCCCTGCGGCGCTCCACTGACGGAGGTGTGTGCGGAGAGTGCGTGACTGCGGGTTGGGAGTGAGGGGCACCGGCGGAGCTGGGAGGAGCCCAGGGGGCTGCAGGTCGGGAGTGAGGGGCACTGGCAGAGCGGGGGGGAGCCCGGGGGGCTGCGGGTCGGGAGTGAGGGGCACCGGCGGGGCGGGGGGGAGCCCGGGAGGCTGAGGGTCGAGAGTGAGGGGCACCGGCGGAGTGGGGGGGAACCCAGGGGGCTGCGGGTCAGGAGTGAGGGGTGCTAGCAGAGCAGGGGCTGCAGGTCGGGAGTGAGGGGCACCGGCAGAGCCGTCTCTCTCGCCCAGGTGCAACGTGGTCCCCGAGCTCGTTCATCGTGGATGACGGGACACGGGTGGACGGGCTGAACCTGGGGGCCGTGGCCGTGGACCGGGCGAACGGCTCCGTGTTCCTGTTCTACGCGCTCTGCATCCACCAGCCGCAGCCCTGTGTCTCCAGCACGATGCTCATTCGCAGCCGGGACGACGGCCGGTCCTGGAGCCGCCCCCGCAACCTCTCCCAGGAGATTGGCCTGGACAGGTTTGCCCCGGGGCCCGGGCTCGGCATCCAGGTGGGCACTCGGGGAGCTGCCCCGATTTCTGTCACGGTGTTCTACTCAGCTGTGTCCCCGCCCCAGAGCCAGCCGCATCTCCACGCTGGGGAGGGGTGTGACGTTCCCCTGGTGTTATCTGGGCCGAGGATCTGCTCGGTCACCCCAATCCTCGAGTCTGGGAGCCAGCCTTGCCCTGCTCCGCAGTGAGAACCCCACTCCGGGGCTGCTCACGCACAGCCTCTGGCATGTAAGCTGCTCCCAGCTACTTGCAAGCGAATGACACTAGCCAATATCTCCGGTCCCAGACACAACCCTAGGAGCCTCCGTCTTGCAGTGTCCAGTTATGCCCACTGGACGCTGCAAGCTTATAGGAGTTCGTCAGTTTAACAAAGAAATTGATATATACCAGGCTTGTTATCCCAAGGGGAGTCCCTGACACGCTTCAAACCAAACACACTGCTCCAGGGAGAACAAACCAACAGATTTATTAACTGTAAAGGTAGATTTAAGTGATTATAAATCAGAGCCCAACAAGTCGGATTTGGTCAAATGAAATAAAAGCAAAACGCGTGCTAAGCTGATCTGAACACTTCCAATGTCCTTACAAACTTAGCTGCTTCTCACCACAGGCTGGCTGGTTGCCCTTCAGCCAGGCTCTCCCCTTTGATCAGCGCTTCAGTCGCTTGGTGGTGGTGTCTGGAGCTGGAGGTGGAAGAGAGAGAGGAAGAGCCTGGCAAACGTCTCTCCCTTTTATCATGTCCTTTCTTCCCTCCTGGCTTGTCCCCTCCCCCCCCCCTCAGGTGAACATTACTGACTGACCAAGGGAAGGGGGGTGACTCACTGGAGAGTCCAACAGATCCTTTGCTGCTGCCTGAGCCATTGTTCCTGTGAGGCTGGGCTGGGCCGAGGTGTGAACTGCCCCTCTGCTCCTGGAGAGTTTGCTCCTGGGCTTGTTTTAAGCCATGAGGACACATTTTCAGCCTCATAACTATCTTCATGAAATTACAACCCATAACATCACTAGAACAAGTATCGGGGGGTAGCCGTGTCAGTCTGTATCCACAAAAACAACACGGAGTCTGGTGGCATCTTAAAGACTAACAGATTGATTTGGGCATAAGCTTTCGTGGGTAAAAAACCCACTTCTACAGATGCCTGGAGTGAAAACGACAGATGCAGACGTAAATATACTGACACATGAAGGGAAGGGAGTTCCCTCGCCAGTGGAGAACCAGTGTGGACAGGGCCAGTTGGATCACGGGGGATTGGGCCACTCCCAATAATAGATGAGGAGGTGTCAATCCAGGAGAGGCAAAGCTGCTTCTGTAATGAGTCAGCCACTCCCAGGCCCTATTCCAGCCCAAATTAATGGGGTTACATTTGCAAATGAATTGTAGTTCTGCTGTTTCTCTCTGAAGTCTGGTTCTGAAGTGTTTTTGTTGCAGGATGGCAACTTTTCAATCTGTTAGCGAATGTCCAGGGAGGTTGAAGTGTCTCCTACTGGCTTTTGTATGTTACGATTCCTGCTGTCCGATTTGTGTCCATTTATTCATTTGCGTAGGGACTGTCCGGTACCCGTCTCGCTCTGTCAGTCCGGTTCCTCACTTCCCCAGGGGGTTATTGTAGTTTTAAGAATGCCTGATAAAAACACCCAGAAAATCTTTATCCAGCGTTCTTAAAACTACGATACCCACCTGGGGAAGTGAGGAACCAGACTGACAGAGCGAGACGGGTACCCAGAAATCACCTACTACAGGACAGGCCCAACAAGGACAATAACAGAACACCACTGGCCATCACATACAGCCCCCAGCTAAAACCTCTCCAGCGCATTATCCACGATCTACAACCTATCCTGGAAAATGATTCATAGATTCATAGACTCTAGGACTGGAAGGGACCTCGAGAGGTCATCGAGTCCAGTCCCCTGCCCGCATGGCAGGACCAAATACTGTCTAGACCATCCCTGATAGACATTTATCTAACCTACTCTTAAATATCTCCAGAGATGGAGATTCCACAACCTCCCTAGGCAATTTATTCCAGTGTTTAACCACCCTGACAGTTAGGAACTTTTTCCTAATGTCCAACCTAGACCTCCCTTGCTGCAGTTTAAGCCCATTGCTTCTTGTTCTATCCTCAGAGGCTAAGGTGAACAAGTTTTCTCCCTCCTCCTTATGACACCCTTTTAGATACCTGAAAACTGCTATCATGTCCCCTCTCAGTCTTCTCTTTTCCAAACTAAACAAACCCAATTCTTTCAGCCTTCCTTCATAGGTCATGTTCTCAAGACCTTTAACCATTCTTGTTGCTCTTCTCTGGACCCTTTCCAATTTCTCCACATCTTTCTTGAAATGCGGTGCCCAGAACTGGACACAATACTCCAGCTGAGGCCTAACCAGAGCAGAGTAGAGCGGAAGAATGACTTCTCGTGTCTTGCTCACAACACACCTGTTAATACATCCCAGAATCACGTTTGCTTTTTTTGCAACAGCATCACACTGTTGACTCATATTTAGCTTGTGGTCCACTATAACCCCTAGATCCCTTTCTGCCGTACTCCTTCCTAGACAGTCTCTTCCCATTCTGTATGTGTGAAACTGATTTTTTCTTCCTAAGTGGAGCACTTTGCATTTGTCTTTGTTAAACTTCATCCTGTTTAACTCAGACCATTTCTCCAATTTGTCCAGATCATTTTGAATTATGACCCTGTCCTCCAAAGCAGTTGCAATCCCTCCCAGTTTGGTATCATCCGCAAACTTAATAATCGTACTTTCTATGCCAATATCTAAGTCGTTAATGAAGATATTGAACAGAGCCGGTCCCAAAACAGACCCCTGCGGAACCCCACTCGTTATGCCTTTCCAGCAGGATTGGGAACCATTAATAACAACTCTCTGAGTACGGTTATCCAGCCAGTTATGCACCCACCTTATAGTAGCCCCATCTAAATTGTATTTGCCTAGTT